TTTTTTCTTTCTGCTTACGCGAATAATTTCCTTCTTCTTAGAAGAAAAGAAATAGGGAAGGAAAAATTTGGACACTGAACAATGATCTAAAATTATCAGAGAGAATATTTTCTGTAATGGTTACGTGTGTAATTGACTTTTCCACAGATGGAGGAGGGGGGCATCGGTCAATTTAATTTTTAAAATTTAACCAGGTATTATTGCCTTCGTGAACAACAATTATTCAGACGAATAGGATGACTTGGCACATGATATCATTCCACGCAGTAGAACGACATAAATTAAATCCGTGGAAGTCAACGCTAATTGCTATCTGAACTCGTATAACTGTACCGTCTAGCCGTGTCGAATGACGTCAATTTCTCTATGATCTATAAATCTAGTTTATGTCATTCTGCTGCCTGGAATTATATCGTGTGATAGGTCATTGTATTCTAACAAGCGTTACTGTATTACGAAGAAAACGTTACGTTTGGAAAATAAACGAATTACGCTTGGAAAATTGACTCGACCTTGATGTCTCCTTCACCGATGTCTACGTCGTCAGAAAAATTAGGTTCATTACCCGATATAAATAACTTTTATTGTAATTTTCCCATTTCCAAATATGTATACTACAATTATAACAAAAATCTAACTTGGTATTAATTATTACTATTTTATTCATAAAAGGACCGTAGTGAATTTACATAAAATTTCACGTATAAAATATAAATTACTCTTGTAGAATGTTTGAGAAGTATACTAATATAATCAGTAACCAAAATTCTTTGAAATAAATAGTGAAGCAAATTTCGAAGAGAATACTTAAAATAGTGGGGAGTTATTATCAAGAAGATTGAAAAATAATTCAGAGTGCAAAGGGTTAGTACTAAACCTACCAAGACCTAAGTGACCATTTCTAAAACTTTTACCAAAAATTCGTGACTTTCCTTCCAATATTCTTATTCATTTCTCGTATATATTTCTCCAAAGTCTCCCATCATTCCATATATTTAATATCCTTATTAATATTTTATCATTCACTTGAGTCATTCGATAGTGATATATTTAGCCTTAGATTAAACCACGAGCGATGTACACAGGATCAGCCTGGACACAAGTCACGTCAGCGTTGCTAGAACGACAAACGTGGAACTGCACCCCTCGTTTCTCCACGCCATGAAGTCACCAATTTTTCCTTCCGCCACTGGAGGCGCGTAATGTATTCGCGGCAGCCTCGCGAATATATTGCTCGTCCTTCCACCGTCACCCCGAAGACAGTTTCACCCTATCGTTCACGGGGACTCCCTTCTCCGGGCAATTTCCAGCCCGGTGCGGACTAGGTGTCTCTCACCCGTGCCTCCGTTTCGATGTCCGCGAGAGGGGTGGCTCACCCCCTGCAAGGAAACGCGAGAGTCGTATTTTCCACGGAAGTCGCGGGGCTATCTCTGTCAAAGCAGCGAGCGTGACGCGAGAGGGTGGCGGAGGATCGGATTTTGGTTATGCGTCGCCACGTTCGCGCTGGATTTGTCACTATCCAGGATGGAGGAGCACGTGGGGGGTGCGCGGATTCTTGCAAGTCGAGTAGAGACGAACCGGTGTAAATTCTTTGGTAATTTAACGTCATTGAAGTTGGACGCACTGCAGGGTAAGCGTGGCGGATTTCTCGGGGGTGGTTGCGGTTCTTCCGCGCGAATTCGTTAGCGCGAATTGATCCGCGAGAGGGGGTGGAATATCAAGGAAATCGTAACGAATGGCTTCACGGATGTCGTCCGTGTGCGAGAGGGTAGATACCACCGGGGGTTGCGTGCGTTTGAAGCTGCTCGGTGGTCGAGGCGTGTTCGTGGAATTGAAGGGAGAGGGGTGCGTTTTAAGGTAGGTCCCTGGGTTTGTAAAGTGCTTGCAGAACTCCCCGGGGGTGGAATGCTTCTTGATGGGGTGAGGGCGTTCGTGGAGAGGATTAGCGAATTGCTACAAGCTTGTTCGTTGTATTCCAACCCCTTCTGTCGTGGGTAATAAAAAGACTGATCGATTGTTTATTGTTAGTTATCGATGTAGAAAGATTAAGACATTGTTGACCGGTGACGAGTTAACTCGTCATTGCACTTGGATTATTTGTTTCAATTTACGAAACCCAGGGTGGTAGAGAATATGAGAGGCGTGTGAAAGTGATTTTGAAAATTGGATTACAAAATAATAGCTGGCGACATGACGTAGTTTCTGTGCAAAATTTTCAGTCAACAAAGTTGTTTACTATCGATTAATACTGTTAAAGTCATCTCGAAATTCTTCTTAAATACTTTACCGAATTCTTTGTCGTTTCAAAATTCTTTTCCACTGACAGGAATTGAGAAACAAAATAATTTTGGTGTATTTCGTATCTTCCGAATGAGTTCTTTTTCTCAGTATCTCCTAGAAATTCTGTTTTAAGTCCCAGTGATTAAAAAATTGATTGAAGTATTTCAGAAAATGAAAAATGTACTTGGGATCTTGGAACTAGTAGTACAAGTAAATAAAAGACGATTCTATACCCATATGTAAGTCGAAAGGGAGGAATAAAATTTTCCATTTTTCAGAAAATCATGTAATATTTGTAAATCCTTGAGGAACACGTGTATTTAATAAGAATTGGACAATCTTCCACTTTCTATCATTTTCTATCATCTAATACACTCCATACGGATGTAAAAAGACCAAAAATGTGTGCAAATATAAATAAATAAAAATTTCACCTTCGATTTCCCCAAGATCCAAGCGTGAGTAAACTGACAACCTGATAAGAATATTTATTGAACACAATAACAGCACAACATTAATTATAATTAAAATAAATTCGCTTCTAACTGCCATATAATCTCTCGATGACTCTCTCACTCACAACGTCTATTTGTAATGACTGTCATTCAGCTACTGATTGTTTTTCGCGACGCTGTCATACTCGTCGCACACACATTCCTCCACACACTCATACCACACATTCTCTGACAACCAAGAACCAGGATCCAAGAACCAAGTACCAAGTCTCGACCAAAAAACTTTTCTACCTCGGTTTCGACTTACTTTCGCACGTATACTCGCTTGCAGGGAAGCAGGGAAAAGTTAGAAGAGCGTAGCACTCCGAGCTGTACGCTTGTGGTAAATGACGCTGCCAACGAACGTGTCAAGAATCGCACCGAATTTCCTGCCCGGCAAGTTCTCCGGGACGATTACCCGCGATACTGCAGGGCGAACAATGTGTGCGAGGTGGCGGGAATATTTTTCAAGATGGCGACATTACCGGCGTCTAAATTACACGCGACGCGTTGGCCCCGCGCAAACAAGCGCTCGACAATAAAAACGCCACATCGCGCGAGTGTGCCCACGCTAAAGGCCTCTCCTCTCGTTCTCTCTCGCTCGTAAACCAGTCGTCTTTTCCCTTTTTTAATTCATTAAGTTTAGAGTCGCGCGACGTAGATGTCAAACGTTTCACTCGCCGGTTTTATACGCGCGGTTTATATCGCTTTATCCACGCGGCCGCCATTACGGCTCCCCTTTATTCCGGTTTTTATGAACGAACCGTGCACACCGCGTCCTGATTAGAGGCCTGACACGCGTTTAAGCGAGACCCGTCAGCCGATTCCGCAGTTGCTCTGTGAAAAGCCGCGACCAAGCGTCCCTGAAACTTTAACGACGATCATCGAACGCTCCCGGAGTCGCTTCAATCTCGCTAGTCGCCTCTCAGAGTCCCGCGAAATCCGCCAAGACAAAGTCTCCGAGTTTTTCAAGCTCTAATAGCAGCCTCCACGGTCTTTGCTGCCTCTCCTCCAGCTTCTTCCCATTTCACGCGATATTTTATTTAGCGAAAATCGCGCACAGCGATCGAGACGGCTCTCTTCTTTTGCGTGCGTTTGAAATATTGAGTGCGAGCCCGTCTCTGTGTTCTTCTTGCATTTTTCTACCTTTTTCTCTTTTCTCTTTTCCCTTCCCGATGTTCGTGACTCGTTTTTCAAAGCACAAAGCTCTAACCGTTCGTTAAGCTCGACTGGCAAAGCGCCACAGGTGGCGTGGCCGCATTTCCTGTCCCGTAACGCGGTCTCATCAACGTCAGCCTCTTTCTATATCACCGAATAGATTATTTACGTGTTAATAATGCGCCAGCCGGTTCACGATCATCCCTTGTCGCGGCGCACGTGCTGCCATAGCATCCTTTTTCCAGCAGCTCGCGGTGTTTTATGCAAGCAATTTTATGATTTCGTACCGATCGAAGCAGTTTCGATTTGTGTGCTTGCAACGGGGTATCTGATCGCGGAAATTATTGCGATAGTGCTTTTCGGAAGATTATTAGTATTACTTCGATATCGGGGTAGTTATTCCGAAGTTCTTATGTCGAAATTTTGATTAGTTCAGGATATTTTAATTTCTTGGCATAAAATTTAAACTCGTGGTCTTTAAATGTGAATTGGATACCTAGGTAGTTTAGACCTAGTATATAGATCACTGCATTTTTCTAGACTGATTTAACAGCGAAAACACACGTCGACGTATGAAGTGTCGAAATTCAGATTGAAAGATTTATAGATATCCGTGTGATAGACGCAAAGATCATCGATTTCTTTGTGATTTCTGTACAAATGCACGTCCCTGAAACAGTAGAATCCAGGATTAAAAATTTTATATGGGAAATTATCGATTTCCTCACACCCGGAGTGCAAATCGTTGTCAAGTTCTGTCAAATTTCCTTATTAGCACGTTGACTGCCATGGTAGCCATCGGTAACCGGTGCTGTCTCCTGCAGCATTGATATGGGGTTGGGGAATATTCGCGGAAGCCAGATAAAAGAGATAAGACACTAGACAAGTATCGAAGGAGTCGCGGTGGATCCGAGTCCCGCGCAGAGGGGTGAAACAAGCGATAGTGGATGATTTCTTGGGACTAATTTGCAGATTTCGGGAAAATTTGCAACCCGGCACGGAAATTCGAGTCGTGGACGGAAAGAGGGATATTCTAATGCTAACCTAACCTGTCCTTTCTCGTTGCAGGAGAGAAGCCGTACAAGTGCAGCTGGGAGGGTTGCGAGTGGCGATTCGCGCGTTCCGACGAGCTGACGCGCCACTACCGCAAGCACACCGGCGCGAAGCCGTTCAAGTGCCGGCACTGCGACCGATGCTTCTCCCGCAGCGATCACCTAGCCCTGCACATGAAGAGACACGTGTAATCGACCCTGCCCGCGAACGGTCCTCAACGCGCGGAACAGTCCAGGACCGGCAGACGAAGCTCCTTCCTTCCCGAGGATTCCCGAGGCCGCCGCGCGACCCTGGCCTCCCCGTGATCGCGTTTCTTCCACACAGACACCTGACGGCGGATCCACGCTCACAGCGGACGGATCGCTGACGATCGACAGCGGCGAACCACCGCTCGGCCACGAATTTCCTCGGATTCGCGCGATCGCGCGGGTTCACGCGTCTGCAACCGTCGGGGAATCGATGATCGGCGAGACGGTCGGTGAGGAACGGCCACTTCCGGTGGCGGTCGTTCTCCAAGAAGGGGCAACGTCGAACGAACGGTGTCGTAACTGCGTCGTGCATACGGGACGATGAGAGCGGAACGGATGATCGGATGGTTGCGATTGGAAATTGCAATCGGGGGAAAACAAGAACGCACGTACGTCGAGCTTCTACCCCGAGACGGTTCGTTTGGCCGGAAGGGCGGTCGGTGAGGGGGTTGGAAGAACGTCCGATGGTATTTTCTACGCGAGACAACGCTGGCAATCGAGACAGCAGGTGGGTCGGCGACGATCGGATAAGGATCAGGCCTGGTACGGTTGATGCGATTAGGAGCCTCCGGGACGAGCAGCTGGAGGACAACGCGAGGAGAAGTCTCGTCCTGGAACGTTAATCACTGCCAATTCATTAAATTCTAAGATCAGCGCAAATACCGTCGGAGATAACCGTAGTCGCCCGGGCGAACCACCGACTCGGGGTTGGGGAATGGGGTGTAGAACCGGCGAGGAATCGTCCAGCGACAGCGGTGTACAGCTCGCGTGAATCCCTGTAAGTCGTCTGCCTCCCGTAAAACGGTCGAATTCCTCAACCCACGCCAATGGTACTCTCAGTGGTACTGCAACGATGACGCGATGCGAAAATCACCGAAAAAATCACCGAAAAACGAGAAAAAAAAAAAAAGATAAATGGAGAAACGATGCGCGTGTAGGGATGTTCGTGTGACACGAACGCTGGTGTTTCATAGGCGTCGCGATTGGATTCCGGAAAGTCAAGGAAACCCGGTTCGCGAGGACAATAATACGCTGTCTGTCGGTGCCAAAACGTTATTTCCTTTCTCCCTCGTTTCACCACTTTCTCTTCTTTCTTCCACACGTATACACACGCGTGTGTCCGCGCGCATGAACAACGTACACCATCCCCCGTGTCCCGTTAGCAGGGCCACGCGAAAAGCTGTTCGCGGGTGGAGAACGTGCACGACGCTTTCGAGCTTCGATCTTTCGAGCAATAATCGGAATTGTATTCGCGACCCGCTGGAACCGTGTCACACGGGGTGTGTCGTGCAAGGGCGGAGGGCCGCGCAGAGGCCACGGGTCGTAATTGAATACGTGATTTCGGCCAGTTTCCACGGAGGCAAAGTTTACCCGCGCCAGGCGCTAATCCCGAATTTACAGTGCGAATTATATCGCGCGACGCCTCCGTTCGAACCACCCTCGCTCTTTCAAACGTCAACCCCTTCGCGTTCCCATCGTGCTCGCGCGACCGACGAACGAGATACGCGAAAAAATAGAGAAAACAGAGAAAACAACAGGAAAAAAAAAAAAAGATAGACTCGATTCTGATTCACGATTCGACCGTTTTACGATCGTCGAGGATATTCACGAGTGATTTCTCGAGGCGGGTGAAACTCGGTCCTCGAGGAACAGCTCGGCCGAACGGGGCTTCTTTCGTAGTGGCGCGCGTGCTATTGTTTTTAACGAAAATAAGGGAAAAAACTAAGATTATATACGGAATCTGACTTTGTACTTTTGTACGATTGCTTTCGTAGGTGACGTTCTCCGCTTTTGTTTCACGCGTAACCGCGCATGCGCGGGTGGGGGCGGCGACGCGTGCCGGCATGGCGGGCAGGATTCTTGTCGGAGGCTCAACAGAAATAAATGATATATATATATTTTTTAATATTCTCGTCTTACTCACCGAAACAATATATTGTTATACATAAGGGATTATACAAAGTATAAACGGGCAACATTCCGCACAAAGCTCTAGAACCGTTTCCACGCGTCAGACCCGCCCGTCGAGCAGCGCCGCCATCACTCGCGCATGCGCAAACCCAGGGACGGCAGACGGCCCTCGTTCACGAACCATGCGTTTGCGTGTATATGTGTGTGTGTGCGTGCGTGCGTGTGCTCGGAGAACGCTACGAACTTCCGGTCGGTGTGCACCGTTGTCTCGCTGATCATCGATATATCCCGAAACGGGACGAGCGGGATCGAAATCGCGCGAGGGGGTGGGAGAAAGAGGGGAACGGAAAAAAAGACAGAGGCAAAGGGGTGTGCATGAATGGCACGGCGGAGAGACGAGATGAGACGAGAGGGGTACGAGAGAGAGCGAGAGAGAGAGAGAGAGTTAGATGGGAGAGAACGTTAGAGGAAACGGGTAATCGCGGTCGGTTACCCGAGAAGATACGACGCGTTCGTATTATCCGTGGACTGCACGAACGAAAGGATCGTGGATCGCTCGTCGAACACGGAGGGTGAACAAAATAGAGTAGTAGAAAAAGAAACAAAGAAAGAAAAGAAAAAAAAAGAAAATAGAGTAATAACGTAAAACGATTAAACACGAAGGAATGAGAGAAGCAGTACGGGGCAGGAGTTTACCGCTTAAGAAGACTAATCTTACCTGAGGGCGCGGAACGGCGCAAAGAGCGGCCGAGCTGGCGGGCGAAACGAAGATTTAAGGGGGAAAAAAAAAAAGGAAACTAAATTTTAAATGTTCAGTGGCCAAATAAATTAACTGATAACGCACGTAGAACGTAACGATACCGTACCTACCAAGTAAGCCTGACTGACATGAGAGCGTCGACGCGGTTCGCGCGCGTGTGGCTGCGTGTGCATGTATGCGCGTTATTCGATGTCTGTGGCACCTGTGTATTTCTTCTTTTCTCTGTATCTTTATCCTTTCGTTCCTTTTTCTCTTTTTTTTTTCCTTCTCCTTCTTCTCTTCTTTCCTTGCGTCAGTTTGCGCGTGAGTGCGTCCGAGGTGCGTGCGCGTGTGTGACCGTCATGCATCTTTTTCCCCCGCGAGAATGTGTTCCAGAGTCAAGTTTTCGGGGGTCGTGCGAGGTTTTCGTGGAGAACGCGAAAGCGTAGGAAGACAGGGAGAGATAGGCAGATAGAGAGAGAGAGAGGGAGAGAGTGAAAGACGAATTCGATGGGGAGAAAACGTATACAAGGGGAGCGTGTGAGTGCGAGGTAGAGAGCGTGAGCGTGTGTGCGCGACAGAGAGAGAAAGATAGATGATAGAGAGCAGAACACTAAGTTTGTATATTGTGCAATTTTTGTCAGTGTTTCATTATTTGTTACCATGTTCACGGATAATTATAAATAAAATAAATATATATATGCAGCATTTACAAGGACTTAGGATAACGAAGATAACGAGAAGCCAGATGTCTTTTTGATAGCCATATACTGCGAGGTATCGTGCGGCGCCCCGACACAGAGGACGCCCCGACCGCTCTTTTTTCTCGGCAAAACTGTTTTCATTTCTTTGTCTCTGGTAGGCGAGAGAGAGAGAAAGAGAGAGAGAGAGAGAGAGAGAGAGAGAGAAAGAGAGAGAGAGAGGGGCGAAACGAGGATACAAAATCGGGGCTCGTCGCTCGGTAACGACGCGCTTCTCGTTACACACGGGCCCGTCGTCCCAGATCGTTCGGCCCACACCCCCGAGCGAGCAAACGAGCCCGCGTTTCGCTCGATCCTCCCGCTCCTCGAGATCGGAAAATCTCGAAACGACTCGTGCAATCTTCTTCTCTCTTCGTGGCTTCCTCTTCGCGTGTCCTCGCGCCACCGTCAGACCGCTCGGCGCCGATCGGCGATCAACCACGAGGAGGAGGAGGGACAGAGATGGGATTATGGGGCAAGGGAACGATCGGGTCTGAACGATCGGTCCTCGCGATCGCGACGAGCGTTTCGCGCGTTTCCATCCCGGCGACCAACGAAACACTGTAGATATAATACACGTACATTAATATTATACGTAACGAACGATCGCACGCGAGAGTGAGAGTGTATGTATGCGTGTGTGTGTGTGAGAGAGAGAGAGAGAGAGAGAGAGAGAACAGAAAGTAACCGAACGCGAGTGTCCGCGTTGTTTTAAACCCGTTGTGTGTGCGAGTGAGGGAGAGAGAAAGAGAGAGAGAGATAGACAGAGAGCGATGGCTGAGATAAATCGGGACGAGGTGTAATTAAGGGAGAAAAAGAGAGGTGGTGGAGGACGAGCTGGCGAAGATAAGACGGAAAAAGCGGACACCTTAAAAGAAAACTAATAAATGGTAGTTAGAAGTTTAGATAGATAGATGGATAGCTAGACCGTTAGATAGACACCTTAGATAGGCAGATAAATAGATCGACGAAGAGAGGAAAGGCGTACGAGAAATGAAAGAATGAAAGATCAGATGTAAGTACCTAAGAGAAACTCTAAGGAACCTTTTAGAAGATGCTGTATCGTTGTACGAGGTACGATAAGTGGACATAAGTGTTTTATGATACTCGCGTACAATAAGCCCGAGACGAACAGTGGGGGAGTATAGTGTATAAGGTATAAGGAAGATCGTGAAACGTGAAGGAAGATCGAAAGGACGAGCGTGAGAGTGGGTAGACGAGTGCGAACACGAGCAAAGTTCACCGGAATGGAAAATCGAGAGAGAGAGAGAGAGAGAGAGGGAGAGGAAATGTAGAGGATTTCACGCGGCAGACGATTTGTATTTGTATTCATTGTGGTTTAAGATATTTTCGAGTCACGTTGTATAGTAACTCCGTGAATTGCAGGACTATTAAGAGTGGAAGATTGCGTGTGACAGAGAGCCAGCGTGAATGGACGAGTCTGGGGGGTTGTGGGGTGATGAGAGTGATCGAATGACGAGGAATGACGAGGAACAGAAGCAACCAAAGGATACGATAAGCGAGAACAAAGCGAACGAAACGGGATGAACTCTCGATCAGAGTACTCTCCTCGTTCGAATTCGATCGAGGAGAGGAGAGAGGACGAGGAGAGTGCGCGATGAGAAACGTGGATGGGAAAATCGACGCAACCGAGAAACGAACTGATTAAAGAACTAACGTTATTTTTAGGAAATTACATCTTTAGGAGAGATTTAAATTAATGGCGGTTAGGGTAAGTGCTAAGGGTACTTTGGTTTCGCGTGCAGCTTTTCTGTGTGGGTATACGAGTGCGTGTGTGTGTGTGTGCGAGAGAGAGAGAGAGAGAGAGAGGGGGGGCAAAAGGAAGAAAGACGAGAGGAGGGGCGAAGTTGAGGGGTGGAAGGTTGCGGGAGGGTAGGGAAGAGATACCTATATTTTTAAAAAAGTGACCTTTGGCATTTAAAGACTTGTAAAAATCGTGCAACGAGTTAAGTAAAACAAAGAACAAACGAAAACTAATATCACAGAGGGCGCAGCGTACTAATGGGCGTCCGTCCTTCTTCGTGTCTCAAACTTCATCTTACACGAATATGCACGCATGCACACATCGAACATACACATACACACACGCGCGAACGAACGAATACAAACGCGAGCACGCCTGTGAGAAGGTGATACATCCCGAAAAGCAGCCAAAGTTTCATATAACTGGGCAATGGAATGGCGTTCGCTTCTTCGTGTACCACAAAACGGGTCAAGACGCTGTACACTGTACACCGACAGCGACATCTCTCTATACCATAGACAGCACGCACCGTGCACATACCAAAACGGAAAGGCAAATTCAGGAACCTGACACAAGCACATGCACACTGCAGAAACACGAGCACACACGTCGAAGAAAATATACCGGGACAGGCAACGTCGTTCTGCAACCCGTTACACGTTATTATACACACCCGCGTCTTGATCTCGACGCGACGCAACAGCGGATGAGACAGGGAGGTAAAGAGGGACGCGAGAATCGCGGAAGGGATTAACAGCGACAAGGAAACTCGACGGAGAAGAAAGACGAGGGGAGAAATTCGGTTACAACGCATAGTGGTGTAGTCTCCCTATTTAGCTGACAGGGTTAAGGGAGAACGGGGTGAGGAGAGGCAAACAATGCATTCCGTTAGAAATTCGCTTTTCACGAGGTACTCGGGTACTACGACGAATCGTAGCAAGGTCGATTCGCCTCGAGGCCTAACCTAAAAGGAGTCGAACGACTTCCACCGCCACACCATCTTCGCGGTACCAGCCGTGGACCCCTGGGACAGTCCGTTCGCTCGCTTCCCAGTCGGCCATTTTAAACGCGAAGAGTCACGAGGCAACGCCAAGGCGCGCGGAGCGTTGAGGTTAGGGCGCCGTTCCCAGGGGCCAGATGGCGCCGAAGTCGACTTCGAAAATGGAGAACGATCCAACAGTCACCGCATAGTCACTATTGTCATCCAACACGATTCATGGTAGGGTTAATAGTATTTTTAGGGATTTTATACAGGCATGCGACCGCGCTCTATGTTCTAGCCACGATTAACTGTCGATCATTGACGTTTCTTCTTGTACGTAAAACGAACACGGTGTGTTTTAGATGTATCGATAATTACCAATGTACGCAGCGACGAATAAACGGTGGGACGAGTGGCGCGTGTGTCTCTTGAGCGAGAATTGTGGTGTACGAGCGAGAGGATATGCGTGTGGAGCGAGTGCAATTTTTTTCTGGAATTCCGTACCTCGTTGTGTATACATCTCTATTTGTATAATTGTGAATATTAACATATTATGATAATGTGATTTATTACGTGTGATCCTGCGCGCGAAGAGACGTGGAGAAACTTAAGCGAGTATTTTGTATTACGATAAAAGCGGAACGAACTAGAGAAACAGAATCGAACAAAGGCAGAGAAACAGGGAAAGCCGGAAACAAAAGAAAAAGGGAAAAGGAAACCGGAAATAATGCGAAACTGACGAGTGTGTTGCGGTTAGAGAGGGGAAACGAGAGTCGAGGGAACTAGAACGAGAGAGATAGAGAGATATACGAAAGAAGGCAAGAAAATCGAAGGAAGACAGAGACAGAGAGAACGAGATTAAGCGAGTAAAGAGTCTTGTAATCGCAGCTTTTTTGCCGCTCGGGAATATAATTAAAATAAACGAAGAATGCGCTTGCGCAGCCGTCGCTCCTTTCTCTCAGCGTTATTTCTTCCTCTTCGTCTTCATCTTCTTCTTCTTCTTCTTCTTCTACTTCTACTTCTTCTTCTACCAACGCCGTGTTGTCTGCTACTTCCTCGTTTCCTCGTCGAGGTGACAGGTAATCCCTGAATCGCGAGGTTGCTCCGCAAAGTTCCACGAAAATAAATATAAAAATACCAAAAAAAGAGGGAAAATAGGAAACGCGTCTTCGTCATGGACTCTGAAATAAAATCTCGAACGACCACGTCGCACGTGCATCCAGGAATATATTCGATATCCCGTCGAATCGATCGCTCTCGAACGAAAACAAGCGGTCGTCCGCGCGATCTCGTCTACGTGTCAGCTCGTTCCGGGGCTTATCGATCACCTCGTTGAGAAAACATCCCTCGATACCGCTCTACTTGGGGCTGTCCAGCCAAGGTTCACGCGGGGATTGCGCCAGGCCCGCCCCCGGCCCCCGTGAAAACGTCCGCCCCTGTGCTCCGTGGCCCGATGGCCGTGTAAACAACGCAGCGGCGCGTGTAACGCGGGAAACGCGATTTTCAAATCTTGGCGGGATCGACGAGTACGGTAGGGATCGTTGAAGGAGCCTCGCAGTTTCACAGACTCGACCGGTCGTTCGTGGATCAAGCGAACCTGTATTGTATACGATTATTAGGAACCTGTCCTTCGGTCACACTCGTTGACGAGAGGAATATATAAAATAGAGGAGAATTAAATAGGCGCGCGCGAGAAAGACAGAAGAGGAAAATACAGAAGCTCCCCCCAAAAAGAGAAAAACGAAAAAAGAAAAAAAAGGAAAATGTGATGGAAGGAGAATTTAGACGAAACGGACTAATAGCAGGAGTACCGATGGACGAGGAACGAAACGAAGAGACGGAAACATCCTTCCAGAGTACCGGGACTAATTTACACGCCGCGACTTGCAACAGTCGAGAGCCGGCTCGAGAGCACTCTCGAGGGCCCGACTCGTTTTGTACAACGGAGTTAGCGAGTACTCGTGTAACGAGTCTAGTAGGTGATCACATGTGATATTTGTATCGGCTATTATTATATAAATATATATATAAATGTAAATGTATAATTAGAGTACTCCGTTAGGACAACCGCCAGTAGCTAGGCGGAAGG